TCACAGCTCACAGCAACCTCCAACTCCTGGGCTCAAGCGAGTCTCCTGCCTCCACCTCCCAAGTAGCTGGGACCACAGGCGTCTGCCACAACGTCTAGTTATTTTTCTTGGTTGCAGCTATCATTGTTGTTTGGCAGGCCTGGGCTAGATTTGAACCTGCCACCTTAGGTGTATGTGGCTGGCACCTTAGCCACTCGAGCCACAGACACCAAGCCAACTTAACAAATTATTGTGAGAAATTTCATGACCTTTTAAACAACGACAGCAATCTACTAAAAAAAATTCACTCAAATGAGAAATACACCAAAGAATAAAATAATACTAGACATAATTATTATTATTATTATTATTTTGGCCAGGGCTGGGTTTGAACCCGCCACCTTTGGCATATGGGGCCAGCTCCCTACTCCTTTGAACCAATGGCGCCGCCCTATATATAATTTTTTTTAATGTATTATATTTGTAAATTGTACTTATGTTGAAATTTTAAAAATATATATTACAATACTATTTTTGCGTTCTATGAAAATTTTTGTTGCTCCATATAGACCAAATTTTTAATTAAGAAACCCTGCCCTCGGTGCGCACTACGCCTCTCTAACGAGAACTGGCCGCGCTTACGGAGAACAGCGGCAGACTGGCGGCCTTAGAGGTAGCGGAAGATACCGGTCAGCCTGAGACGCCGGAGAACGATGATGACGAAGAGGTGGTGTTGCCGCACTCTGAAGCTGTGGACGTGTTCCAGGAGGGTCTCGCGATGGTGGTGCAGGACCCGCTACTCTGCGATCTACCGATCCAAGTTACTTTGGAAGAGGTCAATTCCCAAATAGCACTAGAATATGGCCAAGCAATGACAGTCCGAGTATGCAAGATGGATGGAGAAGTGATGCCTGTGGTTGTAGTGCAGAATGCCACGGTCCTGGACCTGAAGAAGGCCATCCAGAGATATGTGCAGCTCAAGCAGGAGCGGGAAGGGGGCGTTCAGCACATCAGCTGGTCTTATGTGTGGCGGACATACCATCTGACCTCTGCAGGAGAGATGCTCACAGAAGACCGGAAGAAGCTCCGAGATTATGGTATCCGGAATCGGGCTGAGGTTTCCTTCATCAAAAAGCTGAGGCAAAAGTGAACCTCCTGATAAGGACAATTCTACACACTGGTGGTTGAGCTTTTTTCAGTAGGATGGTGCTCTCAAGTTGTCCCTCTTTCACAGAAAGGACATTGAGGGACCTCAGCCCAGGTGTGGCCACCTGGGACTGTCAGCATGAACCCTACAGCCCTGAGGACTAGGACAGGATGAGCCAGTGCTCCCTTCCTATCTATTTGGCCTGAGCCTGATATCTCCTTGGGCCCAAATACCCTAACCACACAGCCAGTCCTACAGACTGTGGGCCTGGCTCTGTGTACAGAATAAATCTGTTTGTTTCTTAGTCTGAAAAGTCAAAAAAAAAAAAAAAGAAAGAAAGAAACCCTGCCCTCCCCCCCCCGCTGACCCCCCCTTCAGGAATGGTGTCCCGCTTTACCAATGTTAAAATCTGGTCACCTTAGTGATGAGGAAGATGACAGAAAAATAAAAATAGCTTCTAGGTTCGGTGCCCATAGCACAGTGGTTAGGGCGCCAGCCACATGCACTGAGGCTGGCAGATTCGAGCCCAGCCCAAGCCAGCTAAACAACAATGACAACTGCAACAAGAAAACAGTTGGCACTGTGGTGGGTGCCTGTAGTCCCAGCTACTTGTGAAGCTGAGGGAAGAGAATCACTTAAGCCCAAGAGTTTGAGGTTGCTGTGAGCTGTGATGCCATGGCACTCTACTGACAGGGGCGACATAGTAAGACTCTGTCTCAAAAAAAAATTGCTTCTAGATTTTGAACTTGAGTAAGTAGGTAGGTAGTTGAGCCATTTTCTGAGATGGCAAAGACCAAGAAAGAACAGTTTGGGGAACGCTAGGGAACAGATATTAAGAGTCCATGTCGGGCCAGGTGCAGTGGCTCATCCCTGTAATCCCAGCACTCTGAGAGGCCGAGGGAGGTAGATTACTTGAGCTCAGGAGTTGGAGATTTGAGATGCTTACTAGATGGCCAGGTGGGCATGAAGATGTCGAAGAGGCAGTTCGATATGAGTCTGGAGCTGGGAGGAGAGAGAGGAGAGCTAGATGGGACTCAAAGCTGGGTATGATCAGTGTATGAATGCAAGGGATCAATCAGGGAAAGGTGGGAGAAAGAATGTTCTAGGTAGAGCTTGGAGATCTTTGTGGTCCCTGCCAGCTTGGGGGTTTTGTGCTATTTCCTCTGTTTGGATAGCATCACTTACACAGGGTTCCAGTCTCGACTTGGGCTCATGTTTGACCCTCAGTTGAACACCTGATTCCACAGGGTCCAATGGACAACAGCGGGAGGAAAAGGCTCTATGGAAGAATAAAGCTTTTCCAAGAAGATAGGTAAGTGAAGGAGTCTCCATTGAGGCGAAGACCCAGAAAGAGAAGAATAAGAGGCCAGGTAAAATTACCTGTCCTTAAGCCTCTTGGCCAGGGATGGGGAACCATAGCCACATTAATTTAGCTGTAATCAAATAAGGATGTTTTGAAGAATTTCAATTAAATATTTTTAAAGCATACATTCATGGGTCCTCAAACTTTTTAAACAGGAGGCCAATTCACTGTCCTTCAGACTGTTGGAGGGCCAGACTGTGGGCCCTGGGACGAGTCAGCTGCTAACCAGGACAGGCAGTGGTGGCAAAAACACCCAGCGGGCCGGATAAATGTCCTTGGCGGGCCGCTTGTGGCCCACGTGCCAGTTTGAGGAACGCCTGCATTATTTTGTAAAAATCCAACTACCATGTACTTAATAATTTCCAAAAATGGAAACATTGTTAATTTTAAAATGAACTAACCTTTTGATGACTTTGTTGTGTCTGCTTTTTGTAGGAAAGCATTTGAACATTTGGTTGCGGCATTGAGGTCTGCAGTTTCAGGTGATCCTCTAGATGGGGATCAGTCCTTTGTGACCTTAAGGGCGTCCTGATTTGGGTTAGGTAGGAGAATGTGGATTTGCGGCAGTAAGTGGTTGAAAAGCAAGAAAGCATTTTTCAGGCATGTTGCCAAAGGGATGGACATTCTACTGCATTTATACATATATATACTATATGTATATAATATATATATTTTTTGAGACAGAGTCTCAAACTGTCACCCTGGGTAGAGTGACATGGCATCATAGTTCACAGTAACCTCCAACTCTTAGGCTCAAGAGATCCTCTTGCCTCAGTTTTTCTTTTTTTTTGTAGAGACGGGATCTTGCTTTTGCTGGTCTTGAACTCCTGAGCTCAAGCAAACCACCCGCCTACGCCTCCCAGAGTGCTAGGATTACAGGATTACAGGTATGTGCTACCAAGTCTGATCCATTTTTCTTTTTTTCTTTTTTTTTTTTTTGAGACAGAGCCTCAAGCTGTCCCCCTGGGCAGAGTGCCGTGGCATTACAGCTCACAGCAACCTCTAACTCCTGGGCTCAAGCGAGTCTCCTGCCTCCGCCTCCCAAGTAGCTGGGACCACAGGCGCCCGCCACAACGCCCGGCTATTTTTTGGTTGCAGCCATCATTGTTGTTTGGCGGGTCCGGGCTGGGGATTCGAACCCGCCACCTTAGGTGTACGTGGCTGGCGCCTTAGCCGGTTGAGCTATAGGCGCTGAGCCTGATCCATTTTTCCATATTTTAATTAGATCTTTCTTAGCATCAAAGAATTTATTTATTTATTTTCTTGAAACAGTCTCACTTTGTCATCCTTGGTAGAGTGATATGGTGTCATAGCTCACAGCAACCTCGAACTCTTAAGCTGGGGCAATCCTCTCGCCTCACCCTCCCAAGTAGCTGGGACTACAGGCACACACTATAATGCTCAGCTAGTTTTTCTATTTTTAGTAGAGACAGGATCTCACTCTTGCTCAGGTTGGTCTCGAACTCTCGAGCTTAATCAATCCACCTGCCTTGGCCTCTTAGAGTACTGGGATTACAGGTGTGAGACACTGTGCCCAGCTTTAACTATCTGTTTTATCTTGCTGAGATAAAATTTTGGCTAACTCTGTCCCTGCCTTACTCAATGCACTTTAAAATATATGGCAGCCAGTAGAGGTGGCTCATGCCTATAATCTTAGCACTTGGAAGGCCCAGGTGGATAGATTGCTTGAGCTCACAGGTTTGAGAACAGCCTGAGCCAGTGTGAGACCTTGTCTTGAAAAATAGCCAGGTATTATGATAGGTCCCTGTAGCCCCAGCTACTTGGGAGGCTGAGGCAAGAGAAATCTCTTGAGACCAAGAGTTTGAGGTTGCTATAAGCTATGATGTCATGGCACTTTACTGAGGACAACAAAGTGAGACTGTCTCAAAAAATAAAATAAAATGGCAAATCCACACTGAATTCTTCATTATTCAAATTCTGTGTTGCATTTGCATGAATATAGTTATATATTAGTTATTAGAACTATATTAGAATATAGTTAACAATCCTTGTAAATTGGGCAGCGTCTGTGGCTTAGTGAGTAGGGCACTGGCTCCGGCCAAACTGCAACAAAAAAGTAGTGGGGCATTGTGG